TTATTATAATGAAGTCAAAAACATTTTGACAAAACCGAAAGGAGTATTGTATCTGAAAGCATTTCCGATATATTATTTAAAATACAGGAAATGAAATTCTGATGGATGTTTGTTAAAATTTGAAAAATAAAAAAGAGGGTAAACTAACCTAAGTTGTTTTGGATGTGCACCACAAAATGAAATATTTTGTAAGCTATAGAAGAAATCAAATGTAGGACATTGAAAAAACTGAAAAAAAATAAAGGATTATATAAAGAATGAGTAAATATTTAAGCATTATTTACAAAAGAAGTGGGTAAATGTTAAAAAAATGAGACATTTATTCTGGATAGTACTTATAGCAATTCGTTTCAGTAAATGTAATAAATATGCAATTTTCAATTTGAATAAATTATTTCATATTCTAATATTATTAAAAACTTTGTTGATTATTTAAAATTTATTGCTTAAACTTAAAACATGAAAAAAAAGCAAGTGAAAAATGACAAATAAAAGACAATATTGAAATTAAAATACGAAATAAAATTAAAAAAACTGAAGACTAAATTATTGGATAATTCAGTTTTGTTTTTTCATTTTTTAAGCTCAAAAGCATGGAATCCAAAATTTACCAAGTGATATAAAGAAATCGTAAAAGAAAAACAAAGAAAAAAGAAGATAATAGTAAAATCATAATGTGAAGTAATTAAAGTATTGACTAAGATAAATTCGTCGATTTTTCAAATTTGAAAAAGAAATTTCTCCAACAAGAATTTACTAAATTAAATGATTTGAGGAAATTGTAGATTTTAGTTCTTCAAAATTTAATTTTGTTCTATTTAAGTTTTCAATTTCATACAGATAACTTACATTCTTTCGTCGTTTATCAATAATATGTATACCACGATATGATACTTCCATTAGTACTGTTTGTGGTACTATTACTTCTTCCTTATTTTGATAAACATTAAGTACCTAAATTTTATTAAACTTTTATTTCAAATTATAAATTACATTAATTTTTCCCTAATTAATCACATTATTACATTAGCAACAACATATTAATTACTTCCATAATTTGTCATCTTAATGAAAGTAATGTTATTATTATTACTACAATGAATAGTTATTAACAAAATTATATTAAAGCGAAAAAAAGACAATGTAAAGATGGTAGATGGGCAAATTAAAGAAATTTTTTTTCCCATTTTATTAAATTGTCTAAATGAAAATTAAATTAAAGGAAAAACAAAATAAAATTTAATGAAAATTAATTTTTTCTTCTAAATGAAAATTAAATTAAAAATTAAATTGGAAATTCAATTAGTCAATGAAAATTAATTAATTAAAAGGACGATAAATCGTGATACCCATAAAACTTATTTGAAAAATCTTTGAGTAAAATTAAAAATAATCGTTCGTTTTTCATGAGAAATGATGAAAAACAAAAACCTAAAAATCCAAACGCTTTCCTGTTAATTTTAACAAAATTATTCCATAAAAAAGTTATGTAAATACAAAGAAAATTAATACACTTGATAACCTTATTCATAGCCTGTACAAGGATATCATTTCCCTTATGATGCGCAACTTCAATTGATGCTAACATTGTCAGATAAAATGTGTCACGTTCACTTGTCATCGTTTCTGGAATTATTCAAGATATTATTTTGCTAGATAGCTATTTATAGTGAATAGACCTTTTCGTTTTGTCTTATTGATGCATTAACTTAGAATGATACAAGAAAATGTTCATTACTTAAAAATACTTTTAAGAATGTCATCGGTATACTTCCAATTAATCTTCGGAATTCAACTGACGACATCACTTATATTTCACTTTAGGATTTAGTGGAACGGATTAATTATGGTCAAATTCAGAATTCAACTGAACTAATCATTTACGATTAATTTTACAATTCAACCGAACTAATCACTTATAGCTAATTCTAGAATTTAATCCAATCCAATCAATTTACTTATACTTCACTTAATGATTCAAAGTTACTGCCAATGTATTGAAAGTAATATTAATGATCAAATTACTGCAATGTAAAGAAAAAAAGAAAAAAAAACAAAATTAAAATTTGTTTTCTTTTCACTTAATTAAACTTTTTTATAATTTCAAATAAGCATTTTTAAATACTAATTAATATGATAACTTACGATTAACATTACTTGGTAAAGCTCCCATGCAAATTTCTTCAACCAAATCAATTTCACAAACATGTGCTGATGGAAAAATGCCATGTTGATTAGTTCGTAGATTTATTCCTCCAAATTATTCAAAATTATTCTGTTACTTAATTTAATACATATTATTTAAACAAAATAGATTTTCTATCAGTTTTCTATCAGTTAATAATCTACTTTATTTATCAATTTATTCCATTACTCAATTTGATCCATTGCATTTAATTTGATAAATTAAACATCCAAGAAAAATATATCACAATTTGTTTCCTATCAGTAACATGGCATAATCAGTTCCCTAGCAATAGTATACTATAATCAATTTCCTATCAGTAACATGGCATAATCAGTTTTCTAATCAGTAACATGGTATAATCAGTTTTCTATCAATAGCATACTATAATCAGGTTTCCTATCAGTAACATGGCATAATCAGTTTTCTA